CACAGCTGTCAGGGGGGAGACATCTTCAAAAATCATCAGGTTGGTATGCCGGACAGTTGGCCTTGGCAGGAAACTCCCCTCCTTGCTACATGCGCAGACGGTGGTGAGAATTACTCCCAATAAACAGTCCTCCTGTACAGATTATTTCCTTCACCCAAATACCATGCCCTTCCTCCCCGTTTCAATGGCAGCCGAAAAGCAAGCAGCAAAACAGAGGCTGACAGAACATAGAAAATAAATCATGGTATTTTTATCGATACAATATTGGTTGAAGTATGAAAGCTAAATGCAAGAGCTTGAACTATGGGTACATGAAGGCAAATGCAATTTAATAGCTATAATGTAGGTAATCTATGATTTATTTCCATAACTGGAATATAAATTGATATCAGTTTAGATAGAAAAATCTGCATGTCCACTAGATGGCAGCAAAGAGTGTTTGGAGAGAGTTCAAAAGAATCGGATGCAATGAATAGACGAGTTATACAGTATATTGAAAGTATACAATCCTGTCCTGCCCCCAAATCCTAGCGAATTAATGTGATTATACTGAAGAGGCATTTGTGTTAAAATAACTGGAGCATGGAATAAAAGCCATCCTCTATCTATCATCATTTAACCAAGGAAAAGATGCAAAAATGTGGACGATGCTTTTCCTGTGCCAACCCGCCAATTATCAAAAAGATTGAACTCTAATGATGAAAGATTTTACTTCCCCTGACATCTGCTCAAAGGCAACACTACTGAACATGGTTCTTGAAATTCCTGGTTTGCTTTGCTGAGAGCTTCCTTTTTCGGAGAGTGGTAGAAAAGGTTTAGGTATCCTTCACCTGATATTAACTAATAAAAGATACTGGGATATAATGTTTACATGCCATCTCCATCTAATGCTTTATCTAGTCTTACCTGCTTATTCCAAACTACTTTAAAGCAGTGTTTCTCAACCTTAAGTCAAGATGTGTGCATTTGAACCATGCTGCTGGAGAATTCTGGGAGTTGAAGTCCACTCATTTTAAAGTAGCTAAGATTGCGAAACACTCATGTTTTGCATGTCCTTCCCTGTTACACTGTGATAATGCATACCAATCCTATTTTATTATTTTTGTATGTCCATCATGTCTGAGATGGAGTATATAACATAGTTTATTAGTCTCCTAAGAAACATTAATCTGGGCTAGAAAAACTAGGTCTTTATGATTTAGAATGCTAGTTTGCTGGTGAGATGCATAGCCTGATGTAACTGGTACATTTTAAGAACTATTGGTATTGCCCTGTATTAAACGCGCTTCTACTGATTTCCACAGCAGTAAAGTAAATTACCCAATTTCACATTGCTTTGCTATTTGTTAATTCATTGGTTTATATTTATTTTTCAATTAACAGGTTTCTTGCACTTCATTGGGACTATGGTCATTCATGCATAATATAAATAATTTAGTTTTGGAAAATTTCAAGTGAATGTTTAAGCTAATTCCATTGAAAAGTATTAATTTGAATTGATAGAAGATGCATGAACAAGCTATCATTTTTTAATTTACAATAGAAATATATTGTAAAAATATGATTTGAACTATGTTTAGATATACATGCACTTAAAAAAATAATGTTCTACAGTACAGATTTCATATATAGTAGTTCATTTTGCAGGAAGTATATGATTTTTCTTGGAAACCATGCTATATCAAAATTTGCAAACCTTAGCAATATTACCATTTTAGCCTTTTGTACAGGAGCCCAAATAGAAGGCAATAAATAGATGAGCTTGGCTCAAAAGATTAAGCAATATCAGACCTAATTGTATTTCAATGAAAATCCCAGAGCAAGAAGCTAGACTGGGAAATTGATAAACATTCCAGAAGAAGTCAACAGCAGATCACTTCTGTACTGTTACCAAGTTTACTACACGGTCATATTCATGAAATTACCAGGAAACAGCTTTTATTTTTTGAACTAGTATCTTAATAATAGGCAGTTTTGGGTTCCAATAAATTTGTTTGACTTTACAAGATAAGTGGGTACAAATTACACGTAAGAGATATTATTTTGCTCAATATCACATAATGGGAATCATACATTTAACCAAACTATAATGCAGTTTTTATCTACAGTTATTCAACAATAACAGGAATTTGACCTAATGGTTAAGGCACCAGGCTACAAACAAGGAGTCTGTGTGTTCTTGGTCCAGTGACACTCTCTCAGCCCAAGGAAGGAATATTAGGTATCGTCACCATCTTAAGTTATTTATAAAAACAATAACCGTGATATAAATAAATAAATATATTGTAAGCATAAATTCAGCATTGATTCAACTAACTCAGAAAAACTAGCTGTGTTTAGAAACTCATTGTTAGATCTGTTTAAATTGTTTCTTTGTACCATTCTAAGGTTTTCCTGCCATCCCGATGCTGAAACCCTTAACATGCTAAAATTCAAGATTGCCCAAAAGTGCTTGGAGGCATTTGTGGTTTAACCCAGTCTTTTCCAATGTGAGGTTTCCCAGATGCAGTAGGATTTCTCCTCACAGCATTACCAACTTGTGGAAGCCGAACCTCATCACATCTGGAGGACAACAGGTTGGGAAGACAGCTTAAATCTCCTTTGGTAATAGCTGAATTGGGGAGACATAGATGTTTGACCTCTGCAAATTCGTGTAAAAAATAAATATTACTGTTTCTAAGGTTTTCTTCCAATGCTGAACCTCTGTTGAAATTAATTGTGATACTGGTTTAAACAGGTTCTCCTGTGTGAAATCACTTAACTGCTTCTTTCTACATTACAAATTGTCTCAATGTTTCTTTGGGCAATTACATATCCATTGCATTTCGTACATTGACACACTTCTAATTTACCAAGGTTCTTATAAAGAATGTATGCAGACTGTGCTGTGCAATAGGCAGTTATCTAAAGAAATGGCAAGAACTTCAACAAAGCAGGCTGGAAGAATTCTGCATAGTAACAGTCAATTTCCTATTTCTAAAAATTCCCTATTTTCATAGCAAACACTCCCAGGGGTTTTTGCAATAGAGAGACTACTGTCTGTTGCTTGTGAACTCAGCTGCTGCTGCTACTGTCTCTACAGTATCTCTCTGTTCATATTCTTTTCTTTGAAATCCTAATCCTTTTATTTTCTCAAAAACAGATTTTTACAGAAATGTACAGAAAAAGAGGTATTCCTATGCAGTGGTTTAAAAATGGCCACATGAGCATTTACACAATCTGGATTCGTACTGTTCACTAAGGCAGAGGTGACTGGAGGATGTAACAAAGCATTTGAGGGAAAGGAGGATAGCAAGGAGGTGGATGATAATGCAAAGAGGGCAGAATTTTGTTGCCCATGCAAGGACAGCCATATTTTTTCTCCTTTTAAGAAATGGTTCTCACCACCAGCACCACATCCCTCTCCCCCGCAAATAACTTCATAAAACTAATTTTAGGGCTTGTCAGAGTTTTCAAGCGGTGGGAAGACATGCTGTTATTTTTTTGGCTGTTATTTATAATCCAAGGGTAGATTGCAAAGCACATTTGCCTTAGAGACTCAGGTTGGTTTAAATAGCAATGTGGGAACCTAGCTTTTCTGTGCAAAGGTTCACTGGAGCAGCAATAGGAAAGCCAAATCATGATTAATATATTCAAGCAGACAGGCCTGTCTAATTCATTAGAAGCATTATCATTTTAATTTATTTCTTAAATAAAAGCAGGCAATTTTAAACAGAAGCATAACATGAATAGATATGTCCACATACAGCATCTATATTTTAGTAGTAGCTTTTATATACTTTCTGGTATATGAAAACAGTTTTATGTATTATTTTTATTCTGCAGAAAAATTATCTCCATTTTACCAGTGTGAACTCAGATTTAAGAATGGTTAGAATAAAAGTCAAGTATTCTAAACTATTGAGTAACTTAAATCTCCTTCATTTTAATCACTCTCTTATAAACTCAAATAAATCAGATTACTCCATTTTTTTCAATTCATAAGATATCAGGGTGGTTACTTTCCCCTTCTTTTACTGCAAAAATTGAACTCAACTGAAATGTGGTTTAAAATAAATAAATAAAAATCAATGATAGAGATGTTTCAAGAAGATGTGTGAACAAAATTAATCAGATTAAACATACTGCCATAAAAAGTTTATAGATATTCAAATAGATATATAGGGACTACACAAAAAATAGTTTATAGTATTCAATACTGTATAAATATGTTTCTAAAAAGGAAATTCTCAAAAGCTAAAGAAATAAAACCCAGAATAAGTGTCAGGAAAAAACATGAAAGTATAGAAAGGGTAAAATGAAGTTCTGAAGGATAAGTTTGACTAATATTATATTAGTGACAGAGAAATTATTTTCTCTGATTGGACCATCTTGATTTACATAATTGGAAACAAATGATTATGAAAATGCAAAATGGGTCTTTTTATCAAACAACCATAGTTCAGAAAGGAATTGGGACAAGTTTTTTTAATAGGATGCTTACCTTTTCTTTTGCCCTTTATATCACTTGAGTGAACATTTTCCTTTTGTCTTACATTCATTCTTCAATATCACTGTTGCACAGTGATAAGCAACACTTCCCAAAATGTTGTTTTCCCATCTGATAATCTTACACTTGCACATTACAAAAAGCATAATATGGTTTATTTGATTTGGGGTTTAGCACATTGCATGCCCGTTGACATTGCAGCTTGCAAGCTAAAGCTCAGGCTGCTTAGAAATCACAAGATGGGTTTTTCAATGAACTGTGCTCCAGCAAACCTGGCCATATTTACAAACTTGCCTTGCTTTGAAATTGGTGCCTGTGGTCAATTTGAAATTGGCTGAAATTGTCTGCTGTGGTCAAGCAACAAAAGTGAGATAATGCATCATGCTGAGCCTTGACTAGCTAAGCCATTATTTGTTAAGCCAGCCAGATTGGCTTGAGTCATATAACTCAATGGCATACCATTCAGTTGTTCTGGTGATCATCTCTTATTCTTTATTTGTTCTTTATCTTCTCTTTACTGCTGGCAGTGTTTAGTCTTTAATCTGACTTGTTACATCATTTAATAAGATAAAAATAAAATATCTTTGGATTCAGCGTTTCCTTTTGTTGAATTCATGAACACATCTATATACAGCAGATAAATTTACTAGATATGGAAGAAGCTTGTCAGTGCTTTATGAGATGATTTTCAGCTTCCGAGTTCCCTGCTACTTCCTGCAGCTTTATCATCTAAGAGATAAACCTGGCTCAGCCCAGCTCAGCCTTTTCCAGAACAAATGAAATCTATACATTTCTTGGTAGTGAAGTGAAATAGATTTTCAGGAAGATGATCTCCAAACCTAATTTTCGCAAACACTATTCAGATAACCAGAACAGTTGGTTTGAATAGTCCAGTGTAAGTTCTTGCATGTAGAGTAACAATGTGCTTTTCTTATTAATTATCAAACAAAGAGTTTTAGAAAGGTTGAAATATACTTTTCCAATAAGTACATTAAAATGCCCTCATTGAGCTTGATTTCTGACAGTTGCACTGGGAAAACCATAGTTTTCTTGGGAGCATTAATATTGGCTTGTTATTTATCGACTTCTGATTTATTTATTTTTAAAGATTTCCATTCTGGCCTCTTAATAGCCTGAGAGTCTCTGATCCAAATACTACAAAACCATGTTAATTTGTTCTTTTCTTACCTAAATTAACCTGAGATTTGGGAGGAGGGAAGAAAATTCTCTGGACTCCTTAGAAATAAAATCTCCTTTCCCATCTCACAATTTTCTGAAATGGCCCCGGCCAGAGGCTATTTATAAACATTGTACAAATCAACATACACATTGGACTTCAGATGTGGTTCTAACGCCAGAGTAATGCAACGTGCAAAGCCCAGATGGCTTTGCGTGATGAGTAGGAGTGTTAATTTTGGATTTAAATTCATCTCAAGGCTGCTGCTTTTATAGTCTTACTTGGGTCACGTTTCCTGAGCATTTTCTCTCTTTTCCTCTCACTTTTAGGATTCAGAGCAGACGGAATTCATTGAAGACTGGAAAGGCATTTATTTGTACTGCTGAACTGAACACATCCCTTTTCCAATTATTGTTTTTGGCTCATAAGGGAAGAAAAAACATTTTAGAAGATAAAGAAGATGCCCAGTGAAAGAGTTCAGAGTAACTGTGGGCCAGAAGCCCACATTTCTGGGGAGAGCAAGAACAAGGGGCAGAGCTCTCCTTGCAATTCCTTACATAGAGCTGTGGCTACAGCTGTGACCTTCGAGGGAGAAGTCAGCACTGAAAAAAGAAAAAAGAGGTGGAAAGAGTCCAGGCCAGAATCAATCATCGTTTATCGGTCAGGGACGGAAAACAAGGTGGAAGAACAGGCAGAAGAGGATGGGGGTGAGAAAACTTCCGAGGAAGGCTCCAAATTTTTGGGACATACTCTAGGAGATGGTAAATTCCTCGGAATAAGTGGTTTAATGTTTGTCCATGTTTTATTTGTTCCAATAGATGTGTTAGGGAAGGAAATTATATATTTTTGCTCAGTTTTCAGGTGCTAACTTTGTACAGTCTACAGCTAGTAATAGTACAGTTTACACATGTGTTAAACCATAGTTATGCAGTCAATGCTTGAACAAGCTGCAGTCCCTGAATTTCTACATTGTAAGCCATCATCCATGGTTTGCAAGCCACTACAGCTGTATTCACACATCATGCTTAGCCCAAACAAGATACAGACCTTTGTACAAAGTCATCCATAAATCCTTGATTCCCAGAGCCTTCTGTTTGGTAAAAAAAATGGAGAAAAGCATGGCAATACTGTTTTGCTTCTATATTTTCCACGCAGAAGCTATTGAAAACTACTCATTTCCATATCTGTAAAGTGGCATCAGTATCACTTGATCATATTGTTTTGTTATATAGTGTTTGCATTATCTGCCCAAAGGATATTTTTTGTTCTCTGTCTACCTCAATAGGTAGATGAGACCAAGCAATCAACTCCATAGAAAGGTTAAAACTGTTATTGTTGAGATTGGCTAGAATAACAGAATCTTGCAAGTCTGATTATATTGTGTTTATAGTTCAGTGATTTAAGATGCTACCAAATATTATATATCTGTTGTGCACTTAAAATATTTTTCATTCCTCATTGCCCTAGTAATGGATCTTACACATCTATATCAAAGTCAACTTCATAACTCTCCATACTGTCTGAAAAGGATTGTTGTTGTTAGTCACAAAGTCATGTCCGACCCACTGCGACCTCATGGACAATGTTCCTCTAGGTCTTCCTGTCGTCTACCATCCCCCAGAGTCCATTTAAGGTCACACTGACTGCTTCAGTGACTCCAGCCAGCCAGCTAGCTCATTTTCTGTCGCCGCCTTCTTCTTTTGCCCTCAATCTTTCCCAGCATTAGGCTCTTCTCCAGAAACTCCTTCCTTCTCATTAGGTGGCCAAAGTATTTGAGTTTCATCTTCAGGAACTGGCCTTCTAAAGACCAGTCAGGGTTGATCTCCTCTAGGACTGACCGGTTTGCTCACTTTGCAGTCCAAGGGACTTGCAGGAGACTTCTCCAGCATCATAGTTCAAAAACCTAAATTCTTTGGTGCTCAGCCTTTCTTATGGTCCAGCTTTCATAGCCATACATTGCAACTGGGAAAACCATAGCCTTTACTATACACACTTTTCTTGGCTGGGTGATGTCTCTGCTTTTTAGTATGTTGTCTGGATTCTGAAAAGGATACACGGGGTAAATATTAGGGTCCAGTTTGAAGCAACAAGAGGGAAACCTTAGCCAAGAACTTTGCAATTCAATTTTTAAAAAAACCTATTTATTTTCAGCCTTAGAATGAGAAGCACAATACTTTGACAAACAAACCACGTTACAATGGTGTTCTGGCTTTTTTGTGCCATTCAGTTACATTCTGTACTGTATTTGATCAGATTTTTTTCAATGTAGTGTGCATGTTTGTCAGTGCCTTAGATTAAAAGTTCATCCTATATCTGAAGCAGGCATGAAATCCGCTTACCTTCGCTACCGGTTTGGAACCAGGAACGTACGCATGGCACTTCTGCACATGCGCAGTGTCCGTGATGATGTCTGGGTAGGTGGGCTAGGCCTCCCACTGCCACTACTACCGGTTTACCCAAACCAGGGCGAACTGGTAGAATACCACCTCTGATCGAAGCTTATGTTAATTTTCTTACACAGTCTCCTAATTGAAATGTGGAAAGTTCTTTCTATTTTTAAATGACATATAAAAAAAATAACTATTCAGGGACTAAATTAAGATACCGGTAGATATATTATTTTAAGCAAAATATTTTCCTGCGTACGAGTTGTCTTTCCTCCCTGTTTGGATTGATTTCTCCTCCTCTTCCTTCTAATTTATTCATTTCTTTTACCGTTTCTTAAGCCAACTTTCCCTAGCCTGGCGATCTCCAATTTTGATCAACAACAGCTCTATGCTACATAATACCATGACTATCATACCAAGCTAGTGTAGTAACATGATACGCTTTAGTGGCTTGATACCTTTTCCCTGGATAAGCTTTCCAGGTATGAATGTGATTGAGTAAGTCTCAATTTACCCCATGCCAAGGAAGGATTATTTAAATCCATTGCAAGAGTGGCTTGCTTCACAAGGATTACTGAAGCATTGGGAGATAGGTTCACATATCATGTTAAGTCAAAAAAAAAAACCTTACCCAGAAAATGCCAGGTTAGAGAAATCTGCCTAAAATGCAGTGGAATTTCTATCAAAACAGTAAATCTCGGCTTTGCCTTTTGTCTTGTACTGATTTAGCTCTTCTGTGTTCCCAGGTTCCTGGGCTATACCTTTAGATAGCAGGTATGTTACTTTAACTGGAACCATCACAAGGGGAAAGAAGAAAGGACAGATGGTCGACATCCATGTTACACTCACCGACAAAGAGCTGCAAGAACTGGCTCGGTCAAAGGAGCTTCCAAAAACAGAAATGCCTCAAACGAAGGCTTGTGAAGTTGGGATGGATAAAGGCCCCCACATTCTTCTCTGGAGCCTTGCCTGCCTCCCTATTATCTTCATTATGTCCTTTATTGTTTCCTTTTACTATGGGACCATTACTTGGTACAATGTCTTCTTGGTGTACAACGAAGAGAGGACCTTTTGGCACAAAATCACCTTCTGCCCATTTCTGATTATCTTCTATCCTATCTTCATCATGGTGGTTTCTTTCTCTCTGGGCGTTTATACAGCAATAACTCAAGTCTCCTGGGCCTTTGGAGATTGGTGGCATGCGGTGAGGGATATGGAGAAAGGATTTTGTGGCTGGCTCTGTAGCAAGGTGGGCCTGGAAGATTGCTCTCCATATAGCATTGTCGAGTTGCTAGATTCAGATAATGTCTCAGGGAGTCTGTCAGCCAAAGGTTCAACACAGGGTGAAGAGGTTTCGGCTGTCTGAGTCTTTGCATTAGGAGATTATGAATATACACTAACTGATTGTTTAAAGCATGCACAGAAACTCTGATGCCAACTCGAGTGTTTGGAAATAAGACCACATATTGGTCATTTCTGCATAGTATGTCAACATGAAATACTCATTTCCATTTCTGTGGAAGATGATCTTTTTTGTATGAAGCAGGCATGGCCTGTAGAAAGATTCTAGCCCAGCTGAATTTTTCTATGTCTTGCTAATATTGAATATGATGTGCTTTGGATACAGCCATAGGCTCCAAGGAAGAGATGCATGTTTGATGCCTAGAAAATCTCTCTGCACATCTAAAAATTAAGAGCAATTTTTAGCAAGGCTGGGTTGAAGACTTTTCTCTGGTCAGCTTGTTTTCTGGATTTTTATGAGATCACATATTTAATTTTAGGCTCCTGCCTAGAATGAAACAATTCCACCCATTTTCTACTTGTCTGTATGAACCAAGGGAATCATGAAATATCAGTATGCTGGAGAAGAATGTCCTATTCCTTGTTAGAATGAATATGGTTAATTAGCTTATGAGTTTAGCTAGTCTGATCAATTTCAGTTGGACAGTATTAAGGAGGATAATAGAGCTGGGCTGCAGGCATTTGGCTAACCATTGGATTGTAAAAGGTTACAGAAAAATGTATTTCTTCGCTGCCATCTAGTGTTTTTCTGAATTTTTAGCAGTCCAGAAGTTATTGTGATTGCTTCTGTGGGAAAAGAGTAGTACAAAGAGAAAACAGAGTCCAAAATTTGCTGATTTTTCACAAATATTTCATTGTGGACATTCTTGTCCCATCTTCAAACAATGGTAGACAAATGCTGATAGCTGAAATGCATTTAACTGAGAGTGATTCCTGTTGGGTGTAAGAATTCACAGCTTGCCTTATAAATTAGAACCACAAATATGATTTTCATGAAAGAAGCCATGAACCTAACATATATAAAGATACGTGAAATCTGCTTCCCATTTTATCCTCTTTCAATTTCAACTGCCAACTGAATTTTAAGGCAATATATTGTTGGTTATAGGGTGTCAGCGTGCACATCTGATTTAATATGTGAGCAGAAAGCCAAGGTGAATTTTAATTAATTAATGAAAGCAATAATTAAATCAAGTAAAGTATCTAGAGCAGATGTGTCAAACACCCGAGGGCCGGATCCGGTCCGTGTGGTGCTTAGATCTGGCCCATGGAAACAGTGAAGGACCGACCTACGATGCCTCTACCAGCGAAAACGGAGCTCGGGAGCCCATTTTCACTGTCAGACCACTTGGGCCATCACAGGTGCCCCCTAACATGAGTGATGTCATGCTGACCATGACGCTCCCTGAGGTGAAACAAAACCCCAATGAAATCAAGTTTGACACCCCTGATCTAGAGGAAATCAATGCAGTGTACTTGGGATGACACAATGTCCAAAACTGGAATCTCCAATATATGGCGTCTTCGGTGTAGACTTCAGATGCTCATCAGGTATTTTTAGGTATTTTAGGTATTTTAGGTATTTTATTAAAATTTATAGGCCGCCCTTTTCCCTGAGGGGACTCAGGGCGGCTTACAACCATTAGGGAGGGGGTACAATCAGGTTTTCTTCTTATAGGAAATCATTCTAATGCTTGCAAAACATTTTGCCCACATGATTTTTAAAAAATAAATTGCTTAAGAAGTTGGGTATGCAATAAAGCATCAGCGTGCTACGTTGACTTTTTCTAAATATAAGGCCCATATGTTTACTTACTGAAAACAATGGGCAGCTTACTTCCACTGCTTACTGTGAAAGTTCCACCTACCTACGCAAAACAAGCAAATAAAACAAAAATTAGGGAACTGCCTGAAAGGGCAGATACAAAAAGTAGTAGGTGGAATATTGGTACTTCTGTGTTTTGTAACTGATTTATCCTCGATGGCATTTGTGTATGGACAACCAGCCAACGTTTTGTGAGAGAGCCTACCTCTTCAAAACCTATATATCTACCAGACTTTCTCACCTCAAATTACCAGTCATGAGATACATCATGAGTACATGCTTATATAAGCTGTAGAACTGATGTCAGAATTTACACAACCTATTCAATCTAGCCATTTCTGTGGGGCAAATACCATAGAATGTGGAGCTATCTATGATGCAGAATTTACCTGTATTATACATTGTCTTCTAGTATATGCATTAATAGCCATCCTACTTCAGAACAGACCTATTGTCTTCTGTGAAGTAAAGAAAGCTGTGCCCAATTGGTGGTGCCATTGTATTAGTCTATTTAATGTCTGTCCAAACCATACAGTCTTTTTCTCGTAACAATTTTTTGTTTGCCTACTATTACGAAATGTTTGCAAATCTGACTGTCTATTAAAAGCCATGCTATAATTGAAGAAGCACAATGTTCTTTCCTTCCTTTGCTCACATTTTGAGTGTATACTGATGTAACATTATGGAGAAACTTTTTTTTTTTTTTAAAGACCTTTTTGCTACATTTTGTCCAGGCAAATTATTTTCTCAGGAGCAATTTTTGGCAAGTTGTCAAAACAACAACAACAACAACAACAACAACAAACATCTGTTGGTAGCACTGGCTAGATAAAGCCTATGATATTACCACTCCATTCTTTCCACGATTGAAATAGTTTGGTATTTTAAAAAAATAAAAAATAAATGCTTAAAAGACAATGGTAATGAATAAACTTTTGAAAATAAACATGATGTGCTAATAATTTTTTACAGCAAAAAAAAATCTTGCTGCGAATATGGAGCCATATTGTTGTATTCGATCCATTAATACTCATTACTATCATTTACATCAGATTTCCATAGTTATATCTTTCAGTTAAATTGGCTGAACTATTTTGCTATGACAACTATTATAAATGTTACATCTGTACTGTATCACCCATCTGTTATTTTGCTGGAATGTCCCAAGAGGCTTAATAGCTGAATATATGTAGTGGGTGATTTCATAATTTTGCTTTGGGGAAGCAGGTCTCCTCGTTCTTGAACAATGGCCCCAAAGTGTAACATCTCCTCATTTCACTTGTATTAAACTGCTTTAGATGTATGTATGCTGTCTTTCTGTAACTTCTTTCTGCTACATTTTTCTTCAGATTTACTTCTGAAGGTTTACTTTATTTAAAGAAGTAGAGTGGGGGTAGTAGTAATCTGCTACTCTTTCAAAGTCTTTCAAAACTTTGGATTTAATTTCACTTTCATTCATTTTCAGTGATATTAAAACAGGTTAAGTCACATTAGGATGAACAGGAAGAAATGACACTTCTTTGTGACTCCTTCAGAACCAGAAGAATCTGTGATTTTTTTAAAAAATATGAACAATGTCATTTGTTAAATTAAAAAGATACTTTAACCAGCCAACTTTTATCTGGTTCATTATTCTCAGTTTGGAAGTATATTCGGGAGAGGGTGAAACCCTCTTTACCTTTTAAAAAGAATTAACTCTTGGGAAAATAAATTTTAAAATAAATCCAGGAGAGATGAGCAGTTAAGAAATATGAAATATAAATAAAATAAAGTTTCAGGAAGGATAATTCCCAATTTATTTCCAGAGAACTGTGTTACTCCCAAGAAATTTAATTAAACCATGTTTAATTAAACCATATGTTTACTTAGCTTGCACTTGATTTTTGGGGCTCTCTGCTGATTTGCAATAAATTTTGAACTTGAGATAACACAGATTTCTTTGGGGATAATTTTTGACCAAATGTGAAATATGGCGCATAAGATAAAATAAATATATGATTGGAAACTCTTGGTTTTTTTAAAAAACAATTTAGCCTGGGAGACTACCCTGATGTTTGGTAAATAGTACATTTCTTCCTAATAAAAATATGCTTTACTCTCTAGGTTGAGTAAACCATCTTTATTCAAATTCTTTATAGGCCACTAGCAAAGAAAAATAATAATTACCTAATCTGTGAGATTTGTTTTGGGATTAAATTGGAACTTTCTACATATAAAACAAAGGTTCCACCACTAAGCTACAGCTCTTCCACACAACCCCCTGCAAATATAATGGAATTTTACTCAGCTATGTTATATTTCCTGATTCTTATGTGTGGCCAGCCTTTTCTCAAAACATCTTTACAAATCTCAGAACATAATTACTTTCTGGAGAGTTCCTTGGTATGATTTATTTCAGTAAAATGTTTCCACCACATCAAAAACTATCCACATCTTCATCTGCTTATGTTATTTCCACCCGGAGCAAGCTTCAGTTAAGAGTGTCAAATGAATACATTGCTTCAACATGGAGGAAGTGGCTTATTTGACATCACACAGAATCCATTCATACAGATTCAGGCCACAACTGCAGTTCTTGAAATGAGGGATATAGCAAGAAAATTACTGTTTTTTCATTTGAAAGTTTAGTGATGAGTGCTCTTGCTTCAGACCTGGGTGTGGCAAAATTGGGCCTTGTGGTGATCACACTTGTCAGTGGAAATGAGCAAGGGTTCCTTCAAAATCCATGATTCCTTCATCTTGGAGAATTTCTAAACTTTATGTAAGTTTAGAAATGGTACAATCTAAAAATGTTTAATATCATGTATTCTTCCTGGCAGTATACAGATGAAACTCGAAAAATTAGAATATTGTGCAAAAGTTCATTTATTTCAGTAATGTAAACTTAAAAGGTGAAACTAATATAT